TTCAAATTTGGGTTGAGATCTTTGTGGGTTTTTTCTTGAATAAAACCATTGGGCTTTTGTCCTCCAAAATTGGGGTTTTTTATCACAAATCTTTGCTTCATCGAATTCAGCCGAGCTAAGGGATTGGAAGACTGTGGAGTGTTCAATCGAGTAGCGGTAACTGGAGGATTGTGAAGAAGGATTTGGGGCCAAAGATTCTTAAGTACAAAATAATTCAAGGTAGAAGGAGTTTTTGTTCAAGATTTGGCATACTTGATTCATATGGAATCAAGGGAAGAGGAGTGCAACATATAAGATTCATCAAGTGATTTTGAATTGTGGTGATTGTATCTTCTCTTACAAACTTTGCAAAATTAATTTCATATCCTAATTCTAGATTCTAAAATTGGGGGCAGAGTAGCCCACGCGAGGACGATATGGTGAACTGCCTTAACAAATACCGTGTCCAATTTAGTTTTTTGCATTTGATTTCTATTTGCTTAAATTTGTGAGTTATCAATTTTCTTATGCATACAAAATAATTGTAGTGATAAACTAAAATTTAAAACTCATATAGCATTCATTCAAAGTGCTATAATATCTACAATTTGAGTATAACCAAACCTTGTGTAGTACGTACACCAAGTGTTTGGTGAATTTACAACTCACAAATTTGCTTTATCTTCTCTGTAACTAAATGGTAATAACTTACACCTTGTTAAACTTGCTAAAGAGATTCATCATATTCATTTTTAATTGTGATTCTATTATAATCATTTTCATCAAATTAGTTCGCATATCTGATCTTTCTAATACGTAAAGTTTAGACGATCAGATTCAGGGTTGTCGCTCTCTGATAAAAATAATTTTACAAAACGCACAAATTTTTAAACGGATCTATTCAACCCCCCTTCTAGATCCGTCACATCTTCTAACAATAAGCAACTGCCTTATCATTCTGCATAAGCACACCTCCTAAACCCATCTTAGAAGCATCACAGTATACCACAAAAGGTTCTCCTGGATTAGGTAACGTCAAAATCGGAGTTGATGTTAATCTCTTCTTCAATTCTGTAAAACTTTCTTCGCACTGAACATCCCATACAAAGTCTCTACCTTTACAAGTCAACTTAGTCAATGGAAGCGCCAACTTATAAAAACCTTCGATAAACCTTCTATAATAACTAGCTAATCCCAAAAAGCTTCTAATCTCAGTAGCTGACTTCAGAGTTTCCCATTGAAACACAGCATCAACCTTCGATGGATCTACAGCAATGCCACTACCTGAGATCACATGACCAAGAAAACTAACCTCCTTTAACCAGAACTCACAATTGGACAGCTTTGCATACAACTTCTTCTCTTTCAAAACTTGCAATACTACTCTTAAGTGTTCTACATGCTCTTCTTCTGACTTAGAGTAAATCAAAATATCATCAATAAACACCACCATGAACCGACCCAAATAAGTATGAAAGATACGATTCATGTATTCCATGAATACTTCCGGCACATTAGTAACACCGAAAGGCATCACCGAATACTCATAATGTCCATAACGCATTCTGAAAGCCGTCTTCTGGATATCTTTATCCTTCACTTTAATCTGATGGTAACCCAACCTCAAATCAATCTTACTAAACACACGAGCGTCCACCAATTGATCCATCAAGTCATCTATTCTTGGAAGTGGATACTTGTTCTTAATCGTCACTTTATTCAGCTATCTATGATTAACACAAAGCCTCATACTTCCATCTTTCTTCTTTACTAACAACAATGGAGCTCCCCACAGTGATACACTTGGTCTTACAAACTTCTTTTCAAGTAACTCTTCCAATTTCTTCTTTAACTCTGACAATTCAGATGCAGACATCCTGTATGGTTCCATAGACACAGGTCTGGTACCAGGTACAAGATCAATTGCAAATTCAAGTTCCCTCTCCGGTGATACATCAGGAATCTCATCGGGGAAAACTTCAGGAAATTCACACACCACCTGCAATTCCTCAATTATAGCTTGAGTCTCTACAGATAGGTACGCCATCAACTAGAACATATGTGCTTCTTCTTGCATCAACTTCCTCAACTGTCTAGTAGACAACAAACTATCTTCCTCTTCTTCAGGAGTAGAAAACCTCACAGACTTGTCATAACAGTTAATATGAACATAGTTATGCTCTAACCAGTTCATACCCAAAATCATATCCAACCCTCTTAACGGTAAACAAAACAAATCAACAGCAAAGTCTCTATCGAAGATCGACAAGGGAAACTTTAAACACACAAAAGAAGTAGTCACCGACCCCTTGGCTGGAGTATCGATGACCATTTCTCCATTCATAAATGACAACATAAGACCCAATCTTCCAACACAATCAGCAGCAATAAAGCAATGAGTAGCACCGGTATCAATAATAGTAATTAAAGGAGTACTATTAATGAAACATGTACCTCTGATAAGTCTGTCCTCAGCAACTGTCTGATCCTCAACCAAAGTGAACACTTTTCCACTTGTATGCGCCCTCTTTGGTTTCTGACACTGACTACCAATGTGCCCTTCTTCACTACAATTGAAACAGCTCGCATCCTTATGCTTGCACTCAGATACAGCATGTCTGTTCTTACCGCAACGGAAACACCTCTTTACTTCAGTAGTACACACATTACTCTTATGCCCAGGTTTCCCACATTTAAAACAAACCACACCAGCAGGAGCATCTCCCCCACTAGTCCTCTGACCCTGAGCAGCTTTCTGTTTACCTTTACCAGTTGGGGTATCATAAGGCTTACCAAGAACCTATTAAATTATTCCAAAGTTGGTGCTAGTTGAAATTTTTGAAAAGTAAAACACCTTAGCGGAGGATCATAGAACTGAACTAGGGAAGTGATAACATCCACTTGTACATTTATTTTAGTCAACTCTAGGGTATCCCCATAGCAGCAAACAAACATCTTCATAGCTTTTTCAGGCAGTTTCTCCTTAATGATTTTTATTTTCTTCATATCTGGCTTGACAATGCTAACACAGACAACTTGTTTCTTATTGGTATCCATTATTAGGATAATCACCAAAAACCTTTGATTTTTTGTTCTTAGAAATCCTGTGAATAAGACGGAAAAAAAGAATGCGAAAATAATGAATATTTTGAAATGTGAGATGCATGTATGCATGGTGATGTAACATAGTAGTGGGGTTTTGTGAAAGGGATCCTTAGTTGGTAGGTTCCTAGTTTAGGCCTACGAATATTTTATCCACCCAAAAGGTGGTTTCCTTAAGGGTATCGTGGATAACACCAAAGGGTAAAGGCACAAGAGCCTCCCTTAGGCAGAGCCTCATTGTAGACTGAAACTTTCATCTATTAGGTCGTATAAGGTCTCTTCATGAGATTTTGTTTTTGGGTTATACAAAGAGTCATAAGTTTTGTTTCAAAGTCCTACCCCCCAAAGAGTCTAGCCCCTTGAGAGATATTTCTTTTTAGGAATCCGCTGACTCTAGACGAAGTTGTCGCAAAAACTCATAGGGATTTTAAACCCCCTTGACCAATTGACAGTCATTCTTTCTAAGGTTTGTTACTTTTTTGAAATTAAATTCCACCACAATAAAATAATATGATAACAAAATATAAATAAACAGAATATAAACAAAAAATAAACAAATATAGAAACAAAAAACACCAAAAATAAAAAGAAAACTCTAAACCCTAGGATTGTGTCTCTAGCAGAGTCGCCGGGTGTCGTAACCGTAAAAAAAAATAAAGAGTCGCCACCATTAAATTTTTGTCCTAAAGACGGGGGAATTTAACGGATAACCCTAATTTTTCAGAGATTCTAAGTTCGTGAGTTTATTATATGAAAGGAAGGTGTTAGGCATCATTCATCTCCCTTGTTCTTATGAGACTATACTTTTAGGTATGAGGGTAAGAAGAAAATTTGGTAGTTAATGTTTCTAAATATTAAAGAAAAAGATTTAATTTTTTAATAGCTGGACGCGCCTTGGTTTTAACCGCGTGCCGACGTATCTCCTTATGAAGAATCAGAGTCCAATTTCGTATTTCAAAAGTGTTTGGTTAGTTTATCTATGGATTATGGAAATATTTTGAATTCTCCTTGAACCATGTCTGAGTTTGAATAGTGTAGTCATAGACGTTGTTCACAGTTAATAAGAAATATCTCCATAATCCTTTTTTAAATAAGAGTTGAATTTGAAATTATGTAAGTAAAAAAAAAGGTCAAGTATTTGACTGGTTAGCTGTCTTAGATGCATGATAAAAAAAGGTTTGAATGATACATAAATGTTTAGAAAATAGGGTTAATGTTTTAGAAAATAATTAATAAATAACTATTTTTATATTATTAAAAATATATCAAATGTTTTTAATACTAATCCAATATTTATTCATTAAAATAATTGATATGACAAAAATTATTTTAATGCATAAAATAATAAAATACTATGAGAAGAAAAAAATTTGATATTATAGATATAAAAATAAAATAAAACATATAAAAAAATAAATTAAATAAATTAATCTAATGAATTAAAATTAAAACAAAAACAAGGGGTGTATATTTAGTTTAGTAGTAAAATTAGGGGGTGTTATTAGCAAGGGCTTAAGCCCAACAATCATATTCAAGTCCAATAACCTGGGGGGTACGAATTGTAGTTAATAATAGTAAACTAAGCTGGGGTGCGATTATGAAGGGCTTTGGCCTAAACGAAAAGGTGCTAGATCCGTTTAGCCTGTACACGGTAAGGTTCATGAGTTATGGTGTGCCAGCACAGCCTGAGACGTTTGATTCAAATCACATGGCTATCAGAAGTTAATTCTGAAGCAATGATTCCAAGTATAAGGAACAGAAGGATGAGATTAGAGTTTGACTGAGGGTGTACCAAAGGGAGATGCACAAGATTACATTGAGTAATCCCATCACATGGCCAGTGGATCGCCATGTGTCGCGAATCCAAAGAGGCAGAGGGAGAGTATATTTTGTTTTCTCCTAATTTTCATTCATTTTCGTCCTTCATCCTCTATCTCTTCCCAGACTTCTCATCCGCTTTCTCTTCTCTCTAACAACAACCTCTGCCTTCTCTCTAACAACAACCTCCCTATACCACCATAAGACCGTCGTGGATTGGCCGTTTCCGGTTGAAGATCAACCGGAAAAACCATGTCTTCAACCCGTAACAACAAATCCAGAACCAAGAACACCACAAATCATATTAAACCCTAACCCTTTTAGAGCCCTAGATCTAAATCTCCCAGTATCAACAATTCATGCAAACAACGCAACAATCACGACGTGTTATATTAAGCTACGTATTCACCAACCCGGACCAGAATGATTTTTCCCGTTAATTCCTCTTAGGATTCTCCTTTTGATTCCGCCTTTTGATCTCTTTGTTCTTCTCGTTTGTAGGTGCTTGGCTGGAATTGGGGCTAAGCTCTGAGAATTTAGGGTTTCAGTTATGAAACCCTAGTCCTCTTTGAATGAAGCGTTTGAGTGAGGGTGGGATTTCACAACAATTAGTCGGGATTCGCCTTAGGGTTTTCTTCTTTTTTCCCTTCTATGTTAGCTCTTAGGTTTTTATAGGTTTTAGCATCAAATTAGATTAGGAAATATATTGTTAGATTAACAATTACTTGTTAGTGACTGATTCAATTAGAATCAATCTTAGGATTTGATTTGATTTCGTTGTAAATTAGAATTAGGGTTTTCAGATTGATTATGTATTTGGACTATTTATGTTGTAAGTTCATTTTCAGTAAATAAAAATAAATACTTGATTTCCAGATTTGACTTGCTATGAAATAAAAAATAAAAAATAATGAAAAACTTTACTCCTAAATAATCTGATTGAAAGATAAAAATTATTTATGAATTGAATATACAATCGATATAAATTATTTTAATAATAATGACTAATAATAGTAACTATAATAATAAATATAATAATTTAAATAATAGCATAATATTTTTTGACAATAACAAAAATAATAATAATAAAAGAACTAAATAAAAGTAACAACAACAAAAATGGTTGACTTCGGTCAACCCTCAATATAATGGTCCTTCAAATACATCATAATGGACCAACAGATTTAATCTAGAACAAAAAGCCCTTTTGGTGCAAAAAGATAAACATACTACATCTTAGAATTTACCACCCCATCATATCTAAATAAATTTTGAAATAGACAACTAATACAATCTTAATTATAAATTTAAACAAATAATATAATAATACCAAAATTAATAGAATAAATTGATTAGTAATATTAGTAGGACAATTTTTGGGTATGACAATAGGGCAGATCATGTGTTGCCTTGCCTATGAGACCAAGGATCTCGTAGATGTCATGATGGGGGAGGCACGAGAGGCACAACAGTACAAAAGGCAATGTAGGAACAGGGCGTTTGAGTTTGTCATACGTATAGTATTTATATCAGGAGTACTTTTATCGATTGTATTTTATTTTGATTTCATTGTGTACTCTGGATATATATATATATATATATATATATATATATATATATATATATATATATATATATATATATATATATATATATATATATATAATTTTCATCATATCAATTGTATGGTTTAATTTATACAAAATTGATGAAAATGATAGTATAGCTATAATATATCGTCAAATTCATCAGACCATCTCTAAATCAATGTTAAAAATTACTGTCTGGTGTGGTGTGGTTCCAGAGATGTATCTTCAGATTATTCCTGATGTGAATACGAATATGCATCTTTGAAACAATTTATGTCAAAAAAGAGTGTTGCACTAAGAAATACATGGAATGTATATGGAGATGTTCAAGAGATGCATCTCCGTAATAAACTTTGAATAACTCAACTCAAATGGTCATGATTTTGATGAGACAAATGATGCGTCAAAAAATACATCTCCAAAATCAGGAGGACAATTTCAAATTTTCTTAGAGGTTTTTTCCACCACTTAGAGTGGAATTAACGATTCCCAAAACCCACTATTCCTCTTCCTCTATTATCCAATCTCGCAAGGAGAGCTTAGGAGTATGAACGAGAGTTTAAATGCTTAACTTTTTTTAACATACATTGTAAACTCACAAGAGTATAAGGTTAACTTGACGATTTGAAAACCCAATACTTAAAAGATTTTTGGCGTACCTGGAGTGGTGTACAAACTTATCTATGTGGTTGATGAATGTACAAACTTATCATGGACCTGCCCTTTAGGCCTCTACCTTGTAGAGAATTAGACTATACTAGCAAATTATTTCGGGAGGAACTTTAGGCATCCCTAGCATAATTCCGGATGTATACATTTAAATACAGCCCCCTCAGTTGTTCATTTGTTTAAAATTTTAGTGAACAAGATAATGGGGGTCAACTTCTCAATGGACAATGCTATCAAGTAAATGATCATCACATTTAGCTCTGCAAATTGTTAATAGATTGAAAGTCATTTTGCAGAACATGCTCAATCTCATACATAAAGCTTCGAGTGTTAACATCATATGGAGCAAACCTCTTTTTAGGTGCTTGACATTGTGGACAACTATATGTATCCGGCTGCAATAACATAAATAACGTTCAAATAACAAAATCATCTGTATAAAGAACTACGAAGCACTGCCAGAGAAACAAACACCAGACACGACACTCATACGTAAAAACCTATAATAATTTGAAAAAATTACAGCGACTGAATATAGCCATGTATATGATGTTTTCATTTTTATATTAACTGTTTCTCTCTCCTCGGAGTCCGACTAACATTAAATATTATCAATGAGTTGGATTTGTGTCCAAATATAGTTCATAAATAAATGACATCACAGTCAACAAAATGCACTATTTTGACAAACACGAGAGACACTGCCATGGAATTTGAATTTACAACTGCAGGTTTCTATATAATATTAAACCTTAGATACACTTATCAACCACATGCATAAAGATAGAGATAGATGTTAATATTTACCATAATTCTGTTTCCTCCCTTTTAAGCATCATTCATCTGAGCTGTATTCACTAGATTCTGGCAGTAAGGGTACAACAGCACAGCAGAATGTCTCCTTATCCTTAAGGAGCAGACAACTGCCATCAGAATTCCACTTTAGGTCCGTAATTGAAAATTGCGGTAGAGGAACACGAACACAAAATGCACCAGACGGGGTCCACATGTACAAGTGCGTGCTTCCGGTGCAAAAAACAAGGCGAGTGTATGTCGGGTCCCAAGCTGCCACTCTGACAGGGTCCTTCTGCACTAAGATTGCAGTAAGCTCAAGTTGTCGGATATTCCATACCCAAAGCACTGTAGGCATACTGTCATTGCGAGTGCATATATATTGGCTATCGTTGCTCCATGACAAAATGCCTAAAAGAAAAATCAGTTTAGTCATGCGTCCAAGAGTCCGAGAAAAAATATATGGATACAGATTTATGCTAATATGTTTTTCCATTTTGTCGTTTTGTACTAAAATTTACACAACCCAAAAATCAAATAGAACAGCAAACAATATCCACGTCAAAAATTCAATTTCTTCCTATTTACTGTGAAATAATGGAATTAAGAACCCTGGCCTTGGCTTCCATGTGATATTACATTATGTAACTAACAAGGAAAGACATAATTTGAAACATTAAAAAGTTAGAGGAAGTGCAGCTTACCAACTCCTTGTTTGGGATTAGGTTTCTCGGCAAGAGGCTTCTGGAATGGTAAATTGATTGGAACTTCCATAACCTCGTACCTAACTGTATTAGCTCGTTCTGAAGAATCTGGTTAGAGCAAGAAAAATAAGACAAAAAGGGAATGTGTCTCATGGACTAACTATTGAAAAACCATAAATCAGATAAAAATAAAAAACAAAAGTCACAACAATTATGCTGACCATCGTTTCCTTGAGAAAAATCATCACTCAAACATAGCTCGGACATGTCAAGTTGTAGAGGCTCATCTACTTCCTGCAATTTCAGCAAGATGGTAAATAAAGTTTTCATAAACTACAACACCATGAACAATAAGTGTCAAAAAGAAGTACCTTGAAAACAGCAGCATGACAAGGGCCACGGACAGCATATGGGTGCATAAACTCTGCAAATTTCTTCCAAGTTAAATGATTTAGGACTCGCAGCATCTGGTCATAACTACCCACTGCCAGATACTGACCACAAGGAGACCACGACACACTTTTAACTCCTAATCCGCTTTCATATGCTACATACTTGAAAAGACACCTACCGTCTGGCGAATAGATTAGGACCTATGTATCAAACAAAAATGATTAAGTTTTTAGCATAACTTACTAACATTGCAACTTCTTTAATGAGACCTTTTAAAATAAAATAAAATAATCAAAACTGGTTGAGGCCAAAGGTTGAACCTGAGACAAGGAGAATATGGGGCCTTCACATTTACCAACTAAACTAGAGAAACATTCATAATTAATTTGCCTTACTATATATTTTTAAAATTAAACATTTTTGAGACATTTTGGTAGTCCAAAATTTTGAGGCCAACAGGCCTAGCTCGGGCCGGCCCTGAGCAGTTATAAAAATACAAACAGTTTATCAGCAACACAAAAGTAGACATACAGAAAACATGCATCATAGATTGTATTATTTGATATACGCAACACCATTCATGAAAGTTTATCTGTAAAAGGTTGTGATTCTGTCTATATTAGTGAACGTGGTAGATATTTAACCTTCCTTCCCTTGTCTAGAAACTTGCTTGGCTGAAATTACCACAATCGACTGCAGTTCAGGGAAGCTTAAGCTTTACAGGATTGTTAAGCGTCTAGAAAACTAATAAGGAGCTGTTGACCCAAACATCAAGGGTGATGTATCGACAATCAGTTTAATGTTATTATAGAGTTTGATTGGAGAGATGGATAGCCAATAGATGAGTAGACTAGAGTTGCTAATACTTCAAACACGGTGTGCTCCAACCTATGACTATGACATTCATATACTATTTACATTTCTCATGTGATTTTAGATTTTTTTCCACACCTATTATACATTTTTATCAAATAGCAGCCATGGCGTGTTTTTTGCCAACCTTGACGGCCAACTTGTGAAGGATGTCTGCACCATGACATTTTATGGGGGATGAAAACAGAGGATATTTGGCCTCCTACAGTTGTCTACCATACACAATTGATAACACTGCTACTATGCGATTAGTCATTGTTTTTTGTTCTTGCATCTAGAATTGGATGCTAACATTTTCTTCAGATGTGGCTTGCATTTGATTAGAGGCTATTTTTATTTCGATATGGCAGCTTAAGATGATCCGCCTAATGGTTTTTGTTAGAAATTCTGCCTCATTGCAGTCCGTCCCCAACCGCCTAATTCTGGAAATTGGGTTGCCTCCAACACCTTCACCGTGTTGGGTGTGAAGGGGTGTATGTAGTTTTAAATTTCCTATAGATATGTCATGTGTAGAGTTTATAAAAGTTTGGGGAGCTCTCACCTTACAAGCCGATTTTGTAAGGAAAATTAGGTTCATTCCAAATTCTAAGATAGTATCATAGCCTATATTAGATCTATTGGGCCGCCTGCTATTAGGTTTCTACTATTGGACCACCTACTTTCAGGTTTCTACTATCGGGCCACCCACTATTTATATCCACGCACCAAAATATGTTCATAAGTGGGGGACAATTCTCACTTTACAAGTCAGTTTTGTAAGGTTGAGTTAGGATGAACCCAAATTCTAAGAGTTTTCAATTGTGTGACATGGTTAAGTTGCAATTGCCTGGTCCAGTCATGAAGGAATGAAACAACAACGTAATTATGTTTCAATGTAATTATACAGTAGGCAGATACGAGCTTTTAACGAGGTAATGAGGTAAAAAGTATAAAGTGCTTGTTTACCAAGATAGTATGCATGATAAATGTTGTTCTTTTCTCAAGTTTTGTTTAGAATATTGGAAAGGAATAAAAGGAAGCAAAACAAAAATGACTCTAGTTGCCAATATTCCAATATTTGAATAGCTTAAAATAGGATAGAATGGACCTAAGTGAATATAAGATTAAACTACTTTGTAATGGTATAATAACAATGATAAAGTTAAGCCTTCTACCATTTCACCCACTTCCCAACATTGTTTTGTTCCATCATAAAATGTCGAGACATTGTTTTCCATTCAATAGCCGGGAGATAGAATAGGAATTGTGGGTGTTTCATTAAATTCAGTAGAAAGATTAATTACCTTGTAATCAAGAGGCGAATCCCATATCAGTATAGAACTATCGTCAGGTGACCATTCGACATCAGCCAAGTCTAGAGTATCTAGAGCAAACATGCCCATTATTTCCCAGGAGTGACAAGATAACAGATTTACATAGTCCTTGCAATCACGCCTTGTGCAAATGGCTGCGAATTTTCCGTCTTTGGTAAAGGAAACCCCCTTGGAAGCATGCTTTGGCAACTGCAGGTGCACGCAAGCGGTGTTCACGAGTGACCAAACTGTTAACCTCAACTGAAAATCTGATGTGGTAAGTATGTGACGACTATCAGGGCTCCACCTAGCATATGCAATACCAGCAAGACCTTCGTCTATCTTGCATGTCCACTCTGGCTGGGCGAGTGACCAAGCCTGTATCATAGGCTTTTTATAGAGGCCACAAAGAATGTACTCGGAATCAAGGGCCCATTCAATATAGGTAATCTTGTCCAAGCATGAAAACAATTGAACGACCTGCATAAGCCAGACTAAAAGTTGGAGAAATTGAAACCACATTTACACACACGGCATAAAAATTGATCAACTCAATACTAAAACATTAAATCCAACTCAATAAGAAAACAAACCTTAAAAGAGATGGTATCACGAATGACCAGACGATAATCGACAGCGACGGCTAAGAAACGGGCATTAGGAGAGAAAGAACAAGGACCGGTTTGCTTGTAACATTCACTGAACTCCATCGCGACAACGACCAACTTTTGGGGCTTTGATTTGATGTAGTTTGCGTCGGATTGGTTTCATAAGATGAAGTCAAGTACGGTAGATCTCGAATGGAACGTTCATTCTTTTCAAATTTTCTTTTAACTTCTTACGAATCCAAATCAATCCAAATAAAAAATTAAAAATCAATCCAAAAAAACCGAAATTTATTAGATAGGTTTGAATGTCATTTTGTGAAAATTGATCGGTTGAAATTGAATTTTGAATCAATTTTTCAAAATCGATTTAAATCAAACCAAATCACGTACATATATTTATATATTTATTTATTTTTTATTAGTATGATATATTACGCGAGTTTATTATTAGATGATAATAATTTTTTTTAATAATAGTTATTAATTTAGTATAATTTATTTATTTTTATTATTTCAATCTTACTCAATCAATTTCATTTTGTAATATTAACTTTTAATATATTATATGTTATATATTATATCAAATGTATGATTTATTAGTAGTTTTATATTATTAATAAAAATATAATGTGTAATTTGGATATCCAAAAACCGATTTAAATTAAATCGCGTAAAATTAGATCGGATCGGATTGAATTTTTTTAATATATCATCCAAAACCGAAGTGAACCGCGAGTAAATTTATCTTTGAATCAGATAATTTTTTGTCTTAAAACCGATTCAAACCAAACCACAAACACCCTTACTTCCAATACACCCTTAAATTACATTTACATCTTTTCTCTATTTTATTTATTGACATTCAATTATTTAGATATTAAAATAAAATTTATATAAAAATAATAAGTAAACGGATAATAAATTATTTTATTTTTTAGACAAAATATTTTTTTTCATCCTTTAATTTTATCTTGGGGTCCATTCTGATCCTTTATTTTTAAAAAGTTTTAAAATAGTTTCTTAATTGTTCAAAAAAGACCACAATATCTCTCTCTCTCTCACACACACCAATTCAAAATTAGTTTTACTTCTCTCTCTCCCTCACTCTTCAATATCACTCTTTATTACTTCTTTCTATTACAATGTTGTTTTACTTCTCTCTCTCTCTCACTCTTCAATATCACTCTTTATTACTTCTTTCTATTACAATGTTGAATGTGTTGATGTCATCGCTCTCTTTATTATTTCTTTCTATTATAGTGTTGAATGTGTTGATGTTATATTCTGTGTTTGTGAAGTTACGAAAGTTTTTAGGATCTCTTTTGATGAATTGGTTTGTTTTTCTTTGATTTATTTTGTTTTTGCTTTTGTTGTTACTAATTGTGTAAAACTGTATAGTTGATTTTGTTTATTTTTAATTTTTTTGTTATATATGAGTGTGTTGTTGTGTTGGATTTTTCTTTTAGAGTTTTTGGTAAATATGGACGAGCTCCCTTATTGCAAATTTGTGTAGTATAATTTTTTATATTTTTGGTATAAATGGATGAGTTGTTGTGATGAAAATTGTATGCATGTTTTTTTCTTTTTTGGTTAGATGAGTTGTGTTGGTGTTGGAAATTATGAATAATTTTTGTTTTTTTAATCTTCAGAATTTGATAAGATGCAGTGGAGTTTTGTTAGAGTTGCCTTAGTTTTAAAAAATTTCTGAGTTAAAGAAGATGATCCAAAGTGTTTATTTTATATACTCAAAGTTTAGCTAAGTTGATTTTATTTATATCATTTTAGAGAGAAAATATAATTTTTTTATTTAATGCATTTTAAGTCATGTTTTAAGTTTGGTTTCTCTTATGATGTTTTTGTATTAACTTTTGTCTACTAAATTTCCAAATCTTCATTAAGAACATATGGTAGATTAGTTTGTTAATGTTACAACAATTGAGAAATCAATTGAAATCGATTAGACAAAATTTATTGAAATTTTGACTTTATTGCGAAGATAAAAGGTACCACAAATCTTTCATCTCCTTTAATATATTTCTTTCAGATTGAATATGTGTTAACCCCTATGAGATGTAATACAAATAATAGAAAATACAAATCAATATATTTATCACAACCAATCATTTGAATGTAATCACAAGAGTAGTCAATTTCCAATGAAACTTAAAATAAAAACAATGACAAGCAATTATCTAACACTTAGTGTGCAATCGATTTTTCAGATTTCCCTTTTGACCTTGTTTATATGAAAAACCAATTATAATTCTATGAATTAATCTAATCAACAAAGCAATTTCAAATTTGATAACAAAGGATTTTTCTATGCGTATCGATCGCATAATCAATGAATTTAAGAATTTGCTAATGAAAGTAAATGAGAGAGAGAGAGAGATAAAGAGAACGAGGACATGAGGATTTGTTTAGATGGTTCACCAATCTTCCTCGATATGACTATGTCTGCACCCAATACGTTCAGAATTGAGATAATCAATCTTACTTTGCAAAAATTGTTTACTAGAGAAAAGTAGTAATGCAACCCTACAACCTTATGTTTGATGTTGATCCTAACTCTTTTTCTCCCCTTGATCTTGAGCTTGATCAAGTCATCCAATACTAATTTGATCATCTGGTTGTTGTTATTCCTTTGACTGAACCATTGTTCTTCAAAGCTTTCACTCAGTTGAATCCAAATTACCAATTATTGTCACACAAGATTTTCAATCGATCCTCCAGTTACCGTTACTCCTTCGACTGAACCCACCATTCTTCAAAGTTTTCACTCGGCTGAATCTGAATTGTAAAATCTTGTGCAAAACTCCAAAATCAACAACTTGATCTTGGTAGAAAATCCTATGGTTTTTTCCCGATGAAACCCCCAAATATTCTCAACCTAATTTACCAGTACACAAACCTAAATTGGAGTTATCACTCTAAATCTAGATGTAACTCAAACAAAGAATGATTATGTGTAATTTGTTTGTGTGTATGCATAGATGAGAGAATGAAGATAAAGAGCACTTTCTTTGTATGTTTATTGTTTTATCAGTTTGAAATGATGCATGTATGAAGTATTTATATGTGTGCAAGTTAAATATTGATAGAAGAAAGAAGAATAGAAAATATTACACCATTTTTGAACACCTCGACACATGAGTCAACTCATATAGGTCATGTGTCAATACATGCAGTAAAAAGAATCAACACGTATCGACTCATACGATGTATGTGTCTACTCATAAAAAAATTATTATTTATATATCAACCTGAAGAGCTCTAAGTATTGACTAATCTAAATAGAGGCTACAGACTTTAAAAAGCATCCACATGTGTCGACTCATAGCACGTATGTGTCGACACATAGACCTATTTTTCACACAAAAAATCTTATTTTTAATGCATAAAACCTTTTTTGCACAGTTCCTAAACTTCCTAATACTAAGATGCACATCAAAACTTAGAGAATAACGTCCAATGTACATAAATGCTAAAAGGTCCTAGTTTTGACATCATACAAAATATCTCTAATAGGAAAGTGCACTACATACTCCATTTTTTTGATGATGACAAAACTTGCAATGATGCATTTCTTGTCTTCATGAAGCCTCCCTCTGAATATGTGCATTACAAATTCATATTCTGTATGCTTCTCCCTTTTTAACAACAACAAAAAGAGACAAAGCAAGCCATGAGAATTATCGAATATCAGATGCAACATAACACATATACCAATATATCACACAGAGGTGTTTGCAAAGAAAGAGCGTGCACTCACATATAGTACATACTTGAAATGACACAAAATTGAAATGTTTAAACATAAATAAGAAGGCAATTTGAACAACATTATAATATTGTCACCCAAAAAGAAAATACAAATAACATATAACCATTGTTTTCACTTCGAACAAGTGATAAAATTGTCAAGACATAAACATAAAAACAAAGCAAAAAAACACAAAATGATTGATGACTTGAAACATGAAATGCATGATAGAATTGTTCCAAAAGGGTTTTAATCCAACGCCACGAGAACATATAACTTCAACGTCCTCCACGACCTCTAGGTCTTGGCCTCACACCATGATGCAAACCGTGCCCATCATTTCCAAAGTGATGATCCAAGAAATCACACATTTTCTAGTAGAATTGTATGTAATGATAGTCATTCTCATTTTGAATATAAATCATATGATTTATCCTAGAAATTATGGTAGAATGATTTGGTGTCATCTCATTTCGCATAGAAAGAAGTTATTCAGTGACATAGGAGGCAAAAGCTTCAAAGTTGGTGTCATATGTTGTCATGTGCTCTTAAATGAGACGAAATCATTTCTATTAAGCTACCTCAAAAGAGTCTCACCTAGGGATGGCAATGGGTAGGGTATGGGTAGGGTACTATAGTACTTATCCCCATACCCGCAATTTGAAAAAATCCTCGTACCCGAGACCATACTCGCATGGGCTCCAACATGTATACTCGTTCTTGTACCCTATGGATAGCTATGTACTCATACCCCCATCCGTTTACCCACATTTATAATAAAAAGTTATCGTTCAATTATCATTTTTCATGTCATTTTATGTTTTTAACAATATTTAAAAAATTCAAGAATGTTATTGTTGTGTTAAAAAATAAACAAACACTTATATTAAAATGCATACAAGTTTAATAATGATGTACTTAATAAAATTGATAAAATTACATGTTTATATAACAATAAAAAAGAAAAAATATAAATATATATAGTGAGGGTATGGGGCAGGGTGGGTACTAAGGTACTCATACCCGCATCCATACCCGCTTATTTTCATGGGTAATTTCCCGTGTCCATGCTCATTTTATTGGTTTTTACCCTACCTGTTGTGGGTAATTTTTGTCGGTACCCACTGGGGATGGGTCAAATTTCCAACCCTAATATCGCCTACAGAAACCCTCCTCGTAGCTCTCATCTTGCCTAAACTGCATATTCTAAAGCATAGTGATAATGGAAGACTTATTTCCATACTCAACACCAATTTCACTACCTTGACCATCTCCACGATCAGCATCATGTATTACCGTATCAACTCGAAGATAACCATGAGGAGAAATAATAGGTTGATCGTCAACCACATGTGGTTCAGCAGTAGAATCAAAAAACTCAACAGTGTCATCAAAGTTATAAATTTTCTTACCATTCTTCTTAACACGAAAATAATACACTTTGTGGTCTTCATCCCAAAAGTATCCCATGTTGGTTAAAGTGCGTTGGGAGAACTCTTGAGCAACACCAGGCGAGCTATACTGAAGGTTTGAAATCACAATGTTGAAGTAATTGAGGATTTTATAAATCATGGAAATGTAACAAAAGGAAGTTTATTTGTTGCATTCTTTTATGCCAAACATATGGGAGACGGAGTAATTAGCCCAGTTAATCCGAATTTTATGGAGGAGAATGTATACAAGGTGGATTTCAGGTTGTTCAACCATTGAGTGACCATCATTCTTTGGGTGCAACATGTAATACACAAGCCAGTTCAGAATACGAGGAACCTTTTTCAAATAACTAGTTGGTATGGACTCGGGCCAGTCATCGGACTGGGGAACCTTTAGCATTTCATTCGTGTGAACGTGCCATAGAAAATATTTATGAAGATTGGTATTTGTCACCAGTGGTTCAACATCAACACTAAAAAGAATAATTATCACTCTTGTTCTTGACAACCTTTGGTTCCATGATAATTTTGTCAAACTAAGTGTGCATGAAAGGTGTTTGATAGAATGTCTAAATGAGGTAATTAGTTGTTTGAGGAATATTTGATCCATGGTTTTAGGATTGACCATAATTTTTATAAAATATGGTTCATGACAGATGCTGAGTGTTGTACCCCAAAATTTTCCCTCTCATTTTATCAAGATTTTCCTCACAAGACTTCCTGGACTCCAAACAGGATTAGGGTTTGCTCAACTCAAGACATCTCCTTGCACTGATAGCCTGAAATTAGGGTTTGAGTTTGCACAAGGATTTTTGGACCATAAATGCTTTATGTGACTTTCATACACCATCTTGGACCCCTAAGATTACCCATACCAAGTTTCAAGCCTTGAATCACATTTTTGCCCAGTCAATTGGACAGTTGACCTAAAAATCAACTGTATTGGGGAAAAAGTCAACCATGACCAATTTACATTCAAACTTTATAATTTTTGATCCAAAACAACATTATAGGCTCCTTTTTACCATTTTATCAAGTTTGGATCATAACTCCTCAAGAAATTTGATCAGAAATCAAAAGGGCAAAATGGTCAAAATTAGGGTTTTGACTGAGAAGGGGCAATTTTTGATTTTAAACTAGCCAATGACCAATTGGGTTCAAGCATTATTTAAAGGACTCAATATCATAACCTTGACCTAATCACATAGTTCAAAATATCTCAAAAGCATTGGATTGACAGATGAATTTTCCAATCAACTGATCAAAAATCAACTATACACTGAAAAGTCAAACTTTGACTTTTTGGTCAAAATCAAGTGCCAAGGATCATAATTCATCAAGATATGTCAAAATGTTAAACTTGTTGACCAAGTAACCTAATTTTGCAAATTAGGGTTTTAATTTGAAATTTTTCATAACTTAGAATTTTTCTAAGTTATGGAAAATTTCTTATTTTTTCCCAACTTTCCACAACTTTTTCACCATGATGCAATTGGATTAAAACAAAACTTCCAACATGAAAGTTGTAGTCCTCCATGAAATCTACAACTTTTATTCACAAAGTTTTCCCAAAATATGCTTGGATATCAAGTTATGATTTTGTGAATAGGGGTCCATAAACTTTTTAACTTAGTGAAATTTATCCCTAGTTTAGGCAGATTTTTGACCTAACTTCATGGAAATATTTCACCTAGTTCCAAGAGGTATCTCAAAATTCATTTCAAAGATGGATTGTAAAGCATGTTACAAACTTTCCAAAATGTTCAAGAACTCTCCAAGATCATTTATGGTTAGGGAGAATCGAAGAAATGAAAATGGCAATTTATCACTTTTGTGCAAGGCATTTTCACAATGTTACAAGTTGCAAATCAGTTTCAAAAATGCTTGTACTTGGTTTTACAGGTCCTAATCCCTTATACACTCCATAATCAAATGCAAACACATTGGATAATGGTCTTGTTCTGACCTTTGAAGCATTGCACAATGAATTATTCCATTTATGGCATAAAGCTCTCAATACCATTTTCATAAAGCATACTTTTGCAAACTTTGCATTTCTTGAGCCATGGATCTGATCTATTATTGCAAACAAAATCCACAAACATCAGGCAAAGTACACCAACCCTATGCAGCTAACAAGCAAGCCTGTACAGGCCTTTGGCTTTGTCACTTCAACTTTCTTCAAAAGTAAGAAAACTTGCAAAAGTCAATACAACTCATCCATCTGATAAAGGCAAGCCTTGGCTTCATTTCAAACAACTTTAGAACCTTGTAACAAGCCTAAGCACGAATTGCAAACAACTCAAACACTCTAAAACACGAAAAACACCATTTTCTGCCCAAACAGGACAGCCTCTGCAAATGTTTTGCCAACTTGAAATATGCTCGTGCTTTTCTTGATTCAACCCTTGAAACATCTTCCCTACATCACATCCAAGCTATCCAGGCCCCTGTCTTACAACTGTATGCCCTGTTTCAAGCTTCACATTTTCATTTTGAAGGTTTGCAGGTTGACTTCTACAGGGAGATTCAGGCATCTACAAGACAAGCTGAGCATTGGAGAAGCTTGAGGGAACTTCAAGGAAGCTCACAAGAAATTCAGGCCTCACTTAAAGTCCCCACATTGCCATATCCAAACTCAACTGAACAAGGTATTTATCAAGTTTCTATCTCTCTATTTAGGCATCCTTAGGTCACAATTTGTGAAGCAAAAATGTTGTCCTTAACTTGCTTAAGCTGTACATATGCATAATTTCCATTTATATTAACTGAGCTAAGAGTATTTGATTGTTGAAGTTCATGAAAAAAACTAGGTCAGAAATTAGGGTCATTAAAATTCTCTGTCCTTTGAGAGTTAGGTCACAAAATGGATATGGTTGGAATCGTGATTAAAAATGCTATAAGTTTCATGTTGTAGGTTTTTGATTTCATGCAAGCATGAGCAAGAACATGATTTGAAGAAGAACGCGCGCGTTTGGAGAGACAGAGGTCAGGGACGAAGTTGTTTGGGCCTGGCGCGCTTGGGCCTTACATTTCTGACTTTTTGCACCCCCCATTTTACTTCTGCATCCCCCTGACTTATTTTTTATATTTTTGTATTTTTTTGCATATTTTTATTTTTTGTGCTTGCATTCATTTTTTCCAAATGATAAAAAATACCCAAAAAAATTTTCTTTTTTTTTTGCATAATAAATAGTTTATTGAGATTTTATAATTTATTTTCTTAAATAAACTTGTAAATAATAATAAAAATACTTAAATATTTTATTTTATTATTTTATACATATTAAATATTTATTAGTCATACATATTTAATTTTTAATAATTGCACATAATATTATTATTATTTTTCTTGAACATAAATGAATAAATATTAGAAAACAATATTTTCTTTTAAAACAAAAAACTAGGGTTTCCCCTTTCAAAACTAATAATATTATTTTTTCTTATTTTTAGGACTTAGATAATATTATTTTCTCATACATAAAGTAATTACAAAACATTTTTTGCATATTTACATTTTATTGCATATTTAAATAATTGCTTATTTATTTATTGTACAATAAATTCAATTGGGTTGTAATAGTGAATTCGAGTTGTATTTTGTGTAAATATCCTCATTCAAAACTTGTATCCCCCTCCCCATAATATTGTTGTAATAGTTTAGATTTACTTTACGCAATTTATCGCATTATATGCATGTTTAGTAAAAACTAGGGTTTGTATGATAAGACAAAATCAAACAAATATCATGACCTAATTTAAGACAAACAAATGCATGAAAAATGACAACACCTTGTACATAAGCACCCCTAGGGTTTCACCCACTTGGTTGCCTTAAAAACATGGTCATGGTATGCATGCTAGGTATCTTGGCAAAACAAAACAAAAGATCATAGTTCCTCGATGACGCTATCTTGGTTGCCTAAAAACAAATGATCTAAGTCCCTCAAAACTTGCTAAAGATACTTGGCAATATTCTTATCATGGTCATACGATGACCCACGCCCGTCCCGTTTAACATCCAAAGATAGGGTTATCTACCAAAACAATGGTAGGTTAACAATGTCAAAGGAATAAAAATGTACAAGAAAGACTTTTGAGTAGGTAGATGCTTCTAGTTACTTGATCATTTCAAAAAACAATCCTTGCTATTTTCAAACAAACACACATATTTCAAAACATTTTCCAAACAACTTTCAAACATTGAAACATTTTTCAAAAGACAAACATCTTTGTATACATTCTTACAAATAAGAATCATTACAAAGATTGCCTAAACAAAGACCTCTTTTCAAAATACTTTCAAAACCATACTAAGCACCATTTCAAACAATTGCAAAAGCAAAGCAAGTGATCTAAAACAAGTAACTAAGAGCCCATGGGAAACCATGGATGAAAAGGGTGCTAGCACCTTCCCTTTTCATAATCTACCCTCCGAACCCAAAAACAATCTCAAAGGTATTTCCTGTGCTTTTTTACCTTTCCTTTTGGATAAAATAAAAGTCGGTGGCGTCTCTTGCTAAACCGCAAAATTTGCGAACACAAACGCAAAACCTCAAGTCAGTTCTCCCACCATATCACACTGAGCAAGATGTCATAAGATCTTGATGAAACTGATACAATAGAGTGTGAAGGTTGCATTAGAGACAAATGTCCTAACAGATGTTGTTACATGCTAAACCAAAACATCAGTAAATGTTGTTTTAAATCTTGACAAATTTGATTTGATTTTGTGATATTTATTTTGGATATATATCAATAGTTTTTGCAGGTTAAAAAGATTTAATCTGGAACAAGTGATCTAATCTCTAGATGTACATAAGTTTCTAAAATTGGATGTTGAAACAATTTAGGAAGCTTGATGTTTTGTTCCAAGATTTAAGAATATTTTTTTGCATAATTGGTGCCGCCCTTAGCTTGTGGATCAAGAAATATTTGGGTGAAGACTTCGAAGCCCATGGACTACTGAGGTGTATTTAAAGAGAACCCTATAACTAATGTAATTTAACTTTTGAAAATTGTAAAATTAGGGGAAGTCTAAAGTCTTAGGTTTTGTGTGTCTCTTGTGTTTTTGTAAGTCGCCCATGTATCTTTTGATACAGTGAGGTAGACCGGTTGTTACTTGATTATTTATCAATTTATTGTTCTTGGTTAAAGCTTTTAATAAAACTAAGTATTGTTCTCACTTATGAGCTTTTATACAAAGAGTTGAGTATTATTATATTGAAAGTGTAATCTTCTGGTTTTGATTCTAGTCACTGGTTTGTGACTGTAGGTATCACTGTGGTGATTGGAAGTGAGAGGGGGATCTCATATCTAGAAGGTTTATAGGTAGAATTTTCACAAGGTATTGATTAGGCGAGAAGTTGTAAATTGGGATTGTTTAGGCTTTGAACT